AGATTTTATCAAAAATATCTTAATTTGTGTTCCGAAGATGAACGAAGGTCTTATGGATTCGTGATGGTGAGTAATTAATGACAGAATTTCAATTTTTGGGTGAACTAACCCTTTAATTAAGTCGTAAAAATGTACAATTAAAATAAATTACTTTAAAATAACAGCAATCAAAATAAAACATGAAAATTAAATATTTTATTGGTTTGCCTTCATGTCATGTAAGCATTTTACAAAGGAAAATTTAAAAGATGAAAAAGAATTAGGTAGAATCAATAAATTACAAATAATTTATTGCTATTGTGTGAATTTATGTAAATCATATAATCAATAAAACAGTAACTGTAGTCTGATTACGAGTATTTAAAATGTAATATACTCTAATTATGAGTACTTCATGAGTAATTCAGATTACATGTAATCGGTTACTACCCAGCTCTGTCAGCTAAAAGTATCAATATTTAGGAGCATAATAGCATATAAATTGACTGCACAAAACCTGTTGAAGAACACCAAGATCCTATAACAACTCGGAGATTGCACTCAGAAAACATGGTTATGCTCGAGCTGAAGGGATCCCCCGAATTTGGTGCAGATTCGCCACGCCTTTACGGAGATATGGCCGTTCAAAGTTTAAATGGTTTTCCAATCGACTTAAGCTTTAAAGCGTTTCATCCAGGTCGCCGTAGCAAAATCCCCGCGTCGGTAGCCCCCCGGGATCGCTAGATCGGTCGGCGCCGGACCGCGAATGTAACCAGCCGTAACTCCCGAACCCATGGGGCTATCGACGCGGGGGTGGTTCTCATTCGAAAGAGAGCCTCGAGACTTACACTCGATTCGCATTCGAGAGGGTTCCTCGAGCTGAAGGGATCCCCCGAATTTGGTGCAGATTCGCCACGCCTTTACGGAGATATGGCCGTTCAAAGTTTAAATGGTTTTCCAATCGACTTAAGCTTTAAAGCGTTTCATCCAGGTCGCCAGTAGCAAACAATGGAGCACGCTCTGCTAGTAATTACACCATTTCAAGCATTTTATCTGTGTTATATGTTCTGTAAAAAAAAAATTTCATATTGGCGGCATATCGGCGGCATATTTGCCAATACCAATATATTGATGACAGGCTCATATCGGCCGATAATATCGGCTAAACGATATATCGGTTGGGCTCTAGTTGTGAGCAGAGGAATTCTTGGTAATGAGCACACTCAGTCAATTATTAAGAAATGACAGTACATTTATGCCCTGATTCAGCTGACAAATTAGCGAATTCCACTGTCTCACACGATTTTTCATTTTTCTCCTTTCTTCACACTTTTTCTCTTTCACTCTTATTAACACATGCTAAGTATACATGAAGGGTGCCCGTTTGATTAGCAGAGTTCATCTTTTGCTGTGATGCATCTGTCTCATTTTCCATAAAAAGGAGATAAAATCTATCACAACATTCTCATCATGTGAGACTGAGGGAAACGAAATCTAGCACCTGATAGGATATGACCCCTCCATACACCTTCACAAGTGGGCGACACCTCAGAATCACACCTCCTACTGGTTTTCTCAGTATACTGACTGCCCTCACACAGAGAGCTCAATGTCAGGCCAAAAAACTTCTGCAAACTGCGGCTTTTCTCCGAGGACTTAAAAGCGACAATCACAACCACTTCCTCTTTCGCTTCTTTAATTTGTCTAATAATTCTGTATGTGTGCAGTAGATTTTTATTCAAATGTTAAGAGGTTAGTTCATCCAGAATTAAAACATTTCACACAATTTTCTTATTTTCATATCATCTCAAACCTGCATGACTTTAGTGGAACACAGGAGCTGTCAGGTAGAATATTCTGCTATAAAGTTAATTTGGAGTTAGTAAGATTTTCTTTTTTCTTCTTCAAGAAATAACATTTTTTTTCAGCAAGGATGCACTAAATTGACAAAAAAATAATTAAAAGCGGTTCTTTTGAACGTCTAATTAAAACAATTCTGAAAAAAATGTATCATGGTTTTCACAAAAATATTAAGCAACACAACTTTTTTCAACATTTACAATAAGACATTTTTCTTGAGCACCAAATCAGCATATTAGAATGATTTCTGAAGGATCATGTGACTCTTCACATGAAGAGTCAGCTCTACCATCAAAAGAATACAAATTATATTAAAATAGAAAATAATTTTAAACTGTAATACTATTTTTCAATATTAAGGATTTTACTGTATTTTTGATCAAGTGCAGCCTTGGTATGCATAAGACTTTTTTTTTTTTTTTTTACTTATCGACCCCAAACTTTTGAATAGTAGCATACAATAAACACTGTCAAGCCCTGCACTACATTTGAAGCCTTCTAAAGAAATATTATTGCTTTCTATGGAGGGGATGGCATAATTTGAATTAAATAACTTGAATTTCTGTCTGTTAGCTATCATATGGCTACAGTTGATTTGAAATATAGCATACAAGTTGTTAAATGCATTAACCAGCTTTTTGTCGGCTTATTGAAGTGCACATGAGTGATATGTGACAGGAACGCATCGATAGTGCAAAGCGCATCCGAGCAGAGCTAGCATTTTGCAGGACAGAAAGAATGAAATGCATCACAAACGCAGACTCTTTCATGATCCAGAAAATTCTAAAAATGTGTTGGACTAGTTTTACAGTGCTTATCTGTCACTTTATTCAGTTTGTGTTTTTTTATTGTACAGAAAAGAGCAGTATAAACATTCGACCATTTCCTCTCGTGTTGCACAGTAAATAAATAGTCATATGGGTTCAGAATGACATGAGGATGAGTAAATGATGACAGGGTTTAAATTTTTTGGGTGAACTAATCCTTTAAAAGTATTGCATAATGACAAGAGGTTCAATTTGACAGACTGTTTAACTACATCACCACTCGTGGCTTCAGTGTCAAATCAGACACTTTTATCGGTGATCTCTTCATTTAAAAAACAGATCAATAGTATTCTCCTCTCAGCATGCATCAATCATACCCAAATTAGCAGTCTGATCACTGTGGATGAAAACCAAAGAGATGATGCGAGTCTTTTCACTTTCAAACAAAAAAAGAAACACCAAACCAAAGAAGTTCAAGCACCCCAACCTGTTCAGACCATGTCAAACCGTGCAAAACTTTTCACAATGACCATCAACAACTTAAACCTTATATTTTCCTGAATGTTGTTTGCAAACAAATCAACCTGTCCAAATATGCACTTAAGTATTTTTCAGTTGAAAAATCGGACTCACACCCACTAGTTTTGAGCAGGCGAATAATCGTTCAGAGAAATGGAAAGACGTATAAGAAAACATATGAGTCTTGACACGTCTGAAAATACCACACGTATAACGCAAGAGTTGCTGAGCCACTAACAGGTAAGTGCAAATCTTTAAGGGAGGGAGAGGGAAAACTTTGAAGCAAACAGCTGAGGGAAATACAAAACATGTTTATGAGACTGAACTGGATAGATCTATAGAGCCAATCATACATTTGACTTGGCGTACACCATTATTTACCTTATATACTTGTCCATAGGTCCCATTTCCCACGAGCTCCACCAGCTCAAATATGCCCGCAGGGTCCTGAGGGGAGAGCATAATAGAAGAGGAGATTAGCTTGCATTATCCTGTCATTGAACATCAAGGAGAATCACACATACTGTATACACTGAGGTCATCATAAATGCTGACACTGCAGTCATTAGACCTAACAAAGCATGTCAATTAAAGTTAAATCTGTTTGCACATTGAACATAAAAGCCTATTAAGGTATCCAATGAGCCAAAGCCAGAAAATGAATTTTGAAACAAACACTGACGCTAAATTACGTCCTATTTCCTGCAAACAAAAACAACCTTTTTTCCAGATTTTTTACCCCCCAAATTTCAAAGCAAATAATAATAATGTTTAATCTTTTCATACCAATAATCAGTTACCACTGTGCTGTTATGCAGAAAATTCTGCCTTATTGGAAATGTCTGCAATCATGCCTGACATATTAAAGATATTTTTAGCACAAGAACCAATAATATCTACCTGACTGTGGCGTTTCTATTTAAAAGTGACGGCAAAACACATTATGTGTTGGTGGTGGGAATATAAAAAGCCAACAAGACTGAAATCAAATCACTCTTACTTGTCATTTTCAGTTAATAAAACTAAAGGAGTTACCAGAACTGTCAGAGTTCAATTCAGCTCCAACAAGCATGATGTTCATGAAAATAAGCACGACCAATAAATAATGCAATACACCTGGAACAATAAGCAAGACATGTTGCCATGGTAATCCGACAATAGCTGCCATTCATGTCACCAGAAGGGTAATTTATGAAATATGGTTCAGTGAATTCACAAAAACATGCATAACAGCTTAAGCTGAAGATGAAGCTGGTGGAACATGAAGGATAGATACAGGGTTATTTAGATGAATATAAATGTACTGAAGGGATGTACTGAACAAGGTGTGCGTTAAAAAAAAAAATACAATGGCAATACTATGGTAAATGGTATCATGGAGAAAGGTGTTATTGAAAAAAGTTCATTTGTTAGCCCTTATCGACAGCCCTGACTTGAAGTGCAATAATGGCACCTGCACTCTCGATCAATGAGAATCTCAGAGAGGCGGGTCCTATATACTTTGGGAAATCCAATTGGCTGTATTCCCACTAACTGTCAAACACTTTTTCTGGTAAGTGCTCTAAATGCCTTAGTACGTGAATATGGAAATCATACAGTTTCATGGAATACACTCTCGTATACGCACACGAAGACTGACACGGAAGAGAAGAGTCATTGAATAAAGTCGTTATTTTTGTTTTCTTTTTGCACAAAAAGCATTCTCGTAGCTGCATAAAGTTAAGTTTGATCTGTTGATGTCACATGGACTATTTTAACGATGTCCTTACTACTTTTCTGTGCCTTGAACGTGGTAGGTGTGTTGCTGTCTATGCAGGGTCAGAAAGCTCTCGGATTTCACCAAAAATATCTTAATTTGTGTTCCGAAGATGAAGGAAGGTCTTATACTGTAGGTTTGGAACAACATGAGGGTGAGTAATGACAGAATTTTCATTTTTGGGTGAACTATAACTTTAAAAAGATTTAGGGCCTGTATATGAAATAAAAGCTGTTCTTTTTAAATTTATGTTAGTCAAAGAATCCTAAAAAATGCATCACAGTTTCCACAAACATTTAAGCAGCACAACTGTTTTTGTTATTCATCATAATTTTTCTGAGCAGCAAATCCGCATATTAGAATGATTTCTGAAGGATCGTGTGAAATTCAGCTTTGTCACAATAGAATAGTTATTCTAAATTATGATATTTCACAAATACTGTTTTGACTGTATTTTTGATCAAATAAATGATGCCCTGTTAAGCTTAGAGCCTTCTTTCAAAAACATTATAAAATGTTTAAACAGCACTGTATGAAGTACTATTTGACCTTTGGATATACTACAAAAATAATTTTCTTATATTGTTTTCCAGTAACACAATATCTAATACCGTGACATCCCCTAAAGTACTTTTTTGCACTATTTCATCTGAAGACTCAAGAATCATTATAAATTGCAGCCAGAAGGAAGTATGCCTGCCTTGGAACAGCCGGAAAATAAACATGAATTTACAGTAAATTAAAAGCACATGGGTACAAGCTAAAAGTGGAATGACACAGTATCAGCTCAGATTCTTTAAAAGCAAGCGTGAGTTTTAACACCCAGCCACAGAGTCAGTGTGGGACGAATTAGGTCAGCACAGTGCTCTGCGTTCGGGCAGAGACCTTACTCTCAACGTCACTGCTGCTGGTTGTGAGACCCAACGGAACATTACACGCCTGCACCGTCACCGTACCTGCAGGAACATCTTCTTCCTGTGATTCTTTTTAAATAAACACTCACGTATCTATCTTACATAACTCGTGCATGTGCCTGAACCTGCATGACACTTCGTTCCTGAAATAAGACTGAAAACGTACAGTTCTTTACAGAGAAACATGCTGGAGAATGGAAGGCATCAATTTTGAGACGGTTGTTCTCTCGAATAGAATGTTTTGCCTCCAAAACGCATTCCTACAGATGGACAGGCATGGGGAAAAACTGCTGACCAAAATAAGACCACCACATTCTGCTTACGAATGTAAAGATGCTTAAAGTGGCCCATGTTTCTCCAGGCATTCAGCAGTTTTAAATGATACACCATTACTTCTGCTGCTTCAACCGTTTCAGAAAAATAACACAATGAGTCAGACTATTTTTTAAGAAGCAAGTTCATATTTCTCATGGAAAGACACCTCAGGCATCGGGCTAACATTGACAGAGTACACCAGCACTCCATCAGTGCAAATGTAGCACCCTCTGCATTTTTCCCTTTCATTTTCTCTATAGGGATTTTTAAAAAATTCCTCAATAAGCTAAGCACTTAACCAAACCAGCCAGCTTTGAGATGATTCACATTATTACGGATGATTCGCAACAAAATATACCTGAAAATATGAAAAAGGGACCATTTGTACTGTAAAAAAATATAACTAGATAAAATAAACATTTCAATTTAAAAAGATTTTTTTTAAATATATACTTTATTAGTTTAATATAGAACAAAATAATATTTTAATGTTTTTGAAAGAATGCAACGTACCAAAGCTGCATTTATTTGATCAAATTTGATCATTAAGTCATTGTTTTAATATTACATTTAATTTAAAACAAATGACAAAAAGAGTAAAATATTTACACCATTTACACAAGTTTGGGATTGGTAAGATATTTTAAAAATTTAAAAATTCCTAAAATATTGTAAAAAATATATATATAATTCAACACAGGTATGTAAAAATGCAAATGATACTATACTACTTTATGGCTTCTACAGGAACTTATTTAGTTCATAGTAGGTCTATCTTGAAAGCTTTAAATGTTATTGTTAAAAATTTAATTTCTCTATGGAGAAAATTAATAGGAATTTACTAGGATTTGCACAAATTACAGTGTCTAAGAATTCCCAGATTAAGCAACAAAATACTTGCAACTTCACAAGGCGGAAACATACTCTACACAAATGCAGACATTGGGCTTGACTCATGCATTGAGAGCGTGCAGTTTTGTACTACATACTTAAAGTGAATTCTTCCATTACGGTCACAGTAACAAGTACTCAACCACAGAGTTGCTTCAAAAGCCATTAAACCAGTATTCAGGTTATTCAAGTAGATTCTAGAAGCACGTACATTTTATCTTGGTTACTTTTTAAATTGTTGCTCCATCATAAAAGTAGTTGACCTAAAAGAGTCAAGTAATTTACAGTTTGCACTGGGAACACAACTTGCACGTTATGTTGTGAATTTTGCTCAGACACATTTCAGACACATGCAACAGCGCATAAAACTAAGAGTAGCATTTGCATTAACTATGTTTCTTTGCGCAAAAAAACTACTACATACTTTACTTTTTTTTTGTAGTAGTATAGTTTTGAGGAGAAGGCAGTGTAGTAATATTATGGAAGTGGAATGGTATATAGCTATTGATGGAATCAAAGCATGCTTCAGTCACACTGTAGCTTTAAACCCCACCTGTGTCATTAGCATTTTGGCAGGGTCAATCCCATAAGGACCATAAGTTAAGTGGTCCACTTTTTGAGTGGGAGGCCATTCACTTGTTCTCTTGAAAACACCACTAAGGAAGGCGCCCATCTGCAAAGCTTTACTGAAGTGCTGAATGTTACGCTTTTAATTAGAAGTTCTGGTTTCGTACAACGTCGTGTCCTTTTTAGAAAACTTACTTTGTTGAAGACTTTCAACAAATTAAAAATGAAAACATGCGATTTATACTTAGTATGTGTTGTGTGGGATTTGTATGAACATAATGAAACAAAAAATAACAGGCCCACATAAAAAATACACCAAAATGACTGATTATTAAACATAAAAGCCCTGAACCGTCTTTAGTACTAGCCGTTGTAAGTTGAACTAAACTAATCTGAGCTCTCCAATGGAGAAGAAGTTGCATGTAAACAAAACCCTATAGTCTAGAGCAGTGGTCACCAACCTTTTTAGGCCCAAGATCCCTGAACTCGGCCTTTATGAAAGACAAGATCTACGCCATTCTTTGTGTTCTTTTTGAAGAATTTTCGGAGCCTGATGAAATCGGTATAAATACGTGTTTAATACTGCAAAATTCGCTCAATGGTACAGTCACTGCCCTTGCCGCCCAGATTAAAAGAGAACATCCCAATCGAGTGAAGGGATTTGTGGAAACTGTGGTTCCTAATTATTGTGATCCAACATTTGCCTCGCATTTCAGGATGAAAAGACAAACATTTCAGGTGAAGGATAATCCACTTCTTGCCTCCGAGACGGTGTTATGATCTATATTATTTTTATTGTGAGTATTAGGCTTATCATTATTGCTGATCACTGTTGTTGTGCTATGTTATTGTAGTATTTACCATTATATAAGATCAGAGGAATATAGAAAGGGTTTTGAAAATGTCACTCCACAATACAATAGCAAAATATATAAATATGTATAGTATTTTTATGTTACATTAATCAGTATTTAGCACACAATATAAGACATTGCAATTACTAA